TTCCTTTAAAAGGCTCTAAGATAAAACCATCAACAAGCATTATCTGTAACTGGGAGATAAACTAGAAGCCTTAGAAGCCTTTCCAATAAGATTAGGGATGAAACCAGGGTGTCCATTGTCTCCGCTATTATTTAGCATTGTTCTACACATGATAACTATAGTAATAAGACAAGAAAAAGAAATTGAAGGAATTAAAATTGAGTAATCAATCTTTGCACATGATATCAGCTAAAAAAACTAATTGCAGGATATAACAGAAATCCACATAAATTACTAGCATTTGTGTGTATTTTCAACAAAGCCCAGCAGCAAGAAATAGAAAGAAAAATTCCATGTAAAATAACTGTAGACAACATAAAATACTTGGAAATCTACCTGCCAAGACAAACTCAAGAACTATATGAACATGATTACAAAACACTTTTCACACAAATATAGTTATATCTAAACAATTGGAGAAATATTAATTGTTCATGAGTAGGTCAAGCCACTATAATAAAAGTGACAATTCTACTTAAGTTAATTTGCTTATTCAATGTCATACCACTCAAACTACCAAAAAATTATTTCATAGAACTAGAAAAAAAAAGCATAACAAAATTCATATTGAAGAACAAAAGGTCACGAATATTAAGGGAATCAATGGGAAAAAATGTGAAGGAAAATGGCCTAGCAGTTCCAGAATTCAAACCATATTACATAGTGGTAATCATCAAAACAATCTGGTACTGGCTAAGAAGTAAAGGGGTGGATCAGTGGAATAGATTAGGTACACAATGAACAGTAATAAATGACCCTAGTATTCTAGTGGTTGACAAACCCAAAGATCCAAGATTTTGGGAGAAGAAATTGCTATTTAAGAAAAATATTGCTGGGAAAACTGGAAAGCAGTTTGGCAGAAACTAGGTGTAGACTAACATCTCATACCATTTACTAAGATAAAATTAAAATGGGTACATGATTTAGACACAAAGGGTGATACCATAAGCAGATTAGGGAACCATGGAATCTTTTATCTGTCAGATCTATGAGTAAAGGAAGAATTTTTGGCCAAACGAGATAGAGAGCATTACAGAATGTAAAATGGATCATTTTGATTACATCAAATCTAAAAGTTTTTGCACAAACAAAACCAATACAACCAAGATTAGGAGGAAAAAAAACTGGGGAGAAGAGTTTACAGTGTGTCTCTAAGGCCTCATTTCTCAAACATATAGAGAACTGAGTCAAATTTATAGGTGTACAAGTCAAACCTCAATTGCTTTATGGCCAGAGGATATGAGTGGCCAGTTTTCAGAATAAGAAATCGAAGCTATCTATAGTTATATGAAAAAATGCTCTAAATCACTATTGATTAGAGAAATGCAAATTAAAACAACTTTGAGGTACCACCTCATACCTATCAGATTGGCTAATAATGGCAGAAAAAGAAAATGTCAAATATTGAAGGGGCTTTGGAAAAATAGGGACACTTATGCGTCATTGGTGGAGTTGTAAATTGATCCACCCCTTCTGGAAAGCAATTTGAACTATGCCCAAAGGCCATAAAATTCTACGTATCCTTTGACTCAGCAATATCACTACTAGGTCTATATCCCATATAGATAAAAGGAAAAGAACCAATATATACAAAAATATTTGTAGCAGCTCTTTATGCGGTGGCAAGGAATTGGAAATTGAGGGGATGCTCACCCATTGGGGAATAGCTGAACAAGTTGTGGTGTATGATTGTGATGGAATACTGTTGTGCTACAGGAAGTGACAAGCAGAATTCTTTCAGAAAAACCTGGGAAGACTTTCATGAACTGATGCAAAGTGAAATGAGCAGAATCAGGAGAACATTGTCCGCAGTAACAGCAATATTGTAAGGATGGTCAACCGTGAATGACTTAGTTATTAGCAATACTGTGATCCAAGGCAGTTCTGAAGCACTTAGGACGAAAAATGCTATCCACCTCCAGAGAAAGAACTGATGGTGTCTGAATAGAGATTGAAGCATACTTTTTTTTTTTTTTTACTTTATTTTTCTTAAGGTTTTTTTTTTTTGGTCTGTGTTTTCTTTCACAACATGACTATTATGAAAATGTTTTGCATGACTACACATGTATAACCTATATCAAATTGCTTGCCTTCTCAATGAAGGGGGTTGGGAAGGGAGAGAATATGGAACTCAGAGTTTTAATAATGAATGTTAAAAATTATTTTTACATGGGAAAACTGGAGGAAAATATTAAAGAAAAAGAAAAAGAAGAAAGAGTAAAATAAAAATAAAATAAACTATTCTCCTGTTTTTGCTCACTTCACCCAAGCCTTCCCAAGTTTCTCTAAAATCACCCCCTTCATAATTTTTTTTAAATTGTGCAATAACATTCCATCATTCATAAACAGCATAATTTGGACATTCCTTTGTTGATGGGCACCCCTTTAGTTTCCACTTCTTTGCCACTCTCTAAGACGTTGGTACCCATGGGTCCTTTTTCTTTGAACTCTTTGGGGTGCAGGCCTCATAGTAGTACCACTGGGTCCAGAGTTATGCATGTTTTTCCAAATTGCTTTCCAGAATATGCTGGTTCTTTTTAAAATCTGTTGGCCCAAAGACAGTGATAACTAGTAATAAAAGCTGGCATGAAGCTCTTCTAATAATTAATTTGCAGTTTTAAAAGCCTGCTGTCGGTGGTAGAAAGTTTTAGACAGTAACAGCCATCCAGCACCCTAGGATTAAGTTCAGACATCTCCCTACCTTCCTTTTACAGAAGAGGAAACAGTCCCCTAGTGATATGAAGTGGCCACCCCCAAGTCAGATGGTAGTAATTTGCAGTGGTGGGGTTTGAACCTGCGTCTGCCATCTTCTCTTCCTGTCCTTTCTCCCTGCCCCAGGCGGTCTCTTTCAGGTTGGTTTCAGCATCATTTCACGTCAGAATTCCACTTTATGGGCGTGAATGGGCCTGAGTACGTTCCTCCTCTAGGTGACAGAGCCCAGGCCACTTTTCCTCTAGTATCGTTTGCAGAAGTATATTTTATCACCTGCGTTTGGGTGGAATGGTCATGCTCACTCTTGTTTCCCACTCTGTTTATAAAATTGGAGCCACTGATGATGTGAATGTAAAACGGTCTGCATTTGTTTGTAAAACATCCGTCACTTGGAGATGCTGGCCTCACCCTGGCCTCAGTGACTCCTGTGAGAGGGAACAGAGTTTGTTTTTTTTATCACCCTTTGCCACGATGGAATCTCTTGCTGCAGGGCAGTTGTGGGCTTACTGCGAGGGCTCCACCTGCCCCTTTCTACGTTTAAGAAAAGATGCTTTATCTCCTTTAGGTGCCTATCAGAGACTGAACCCAGGTGCCTGAGCCAGAGCTTACCTGTGTTTTACTGACAAACTTCTCCTTACTTGGGCACTTTTCCTCATTGGGTCACAGGAAGCAGGTCCGGATTTGGAGACAGTGGACCTGGGCCTTGTCCCAATTCTGCCTCCTATTAGGTGACCTTCCATAGGTCACCTCTATCTAGGTCTTTACTTGTATCGTCTGTAGTAGGAGGGATCTGGGTGGGCTAGATGACCTAAGTCTCGTCTCTCCTCTAAAATCAAGCAATAAGCTTTCTCTGTGGCCGGTAGTTAACATGATAAAGTTTGGAGTTGAAAACTTAGTCCTTTTCTGAGTACATAATGGTAATAAAAATGTTGTATGTAAACAGATACCCTAGGAGATAAGCTGAAAGAGTTTCTCTTCTTTGCCCTCTCGTTCTCTGCTCCGGGGTTGAGTGCCAGCCTTCTGCTTCCTCTGGATTTTATGCTGGTAGTTGTTTAGGTTGGTGTTTTGGTTTTTGTTTTTGTTTTTTAAGAAATTGCATTTGATCTAACCTAAGCAGCGCTGTCAGATGATGCTACTAAAAACTGGGAAGCAAGTTTGCCAACCATTTTATATACGTTATTCCCTTTTATCCTCACGACAACCCAGGGTTCAAATTTCACCTCAGACCCTTACTAGCTAGGTGACTTTTGGCAAGACAGTCTTAATCTCTCTGGGTCTCAGTTCCCTCATCTGTAAAATTGAGAGTGATGGGCTTGAGAACCTCTAAGGTCCCTTCCAGCTCTAAAACTGTGTTCTTAATGCAGTGGGGTAAATTCTTTTATTATCCCCATTGGAAGCAACTGGGTGGCTCTCTGGATAGAGTGCTGGACTTGGAGTCAGGAAGACCTGAATTCGAATTTTGCCTTAGACATAAGCTGCATGACCCTAGGCCAAGACACTTAACCTATGTTTGCCTCAGTATCCTCATCTCTAAATGGTGATAATAGCTCCTACCTCCTAAGCCTTGTTGTGAGGATCAAATGAGATAACATTAGTAAGCCATTTTCAGTTAAGTTGTTTTATAGTTGTGTCTGACCCTTTGTGACCCATTTGGGTTTTGTTTGTTTTGCTAGGCAATGGGGTTAAGTGCCTTGCCCAGGGTCACACAGCTAATAAGTGTTATGTGTCTGAGGCCTGATTTGAACTCGGGTCCTACTGACTCCGGGGCCAGTTCTCTATCCAGTGCACCACCTAGCTGCCCCCTGGGGTTTTCTTAGCAAAGATAGTGGAGTGGTTTGCCATTTCCTTCTCCAGGAGAATAAGGCAAACAAAGGATAAGTGATTGCCCAGGGTCACACAGCTAATGAGTGTCCACTGAACCACCTAGCTACCGTTTGTATAGCATTTACTTTTACCTTAAAGTGACTATGTAAATGCTAGTTGTTGTTATTGTTATTTTCCAAATAAGGAAACTGAGACTGAAAGGTTATGACTTGCTCAAGGTCACAGAGCTATTAAGCATCTGGGATGAGATTTGAACTCAGGTCTGTCTACCTGTTGCACCTATCTCAAAAGTGGGCCTCAAATGAAATAACATATGTAAAGTAGAAAGTAATAATAATACATTAAAGTGCTACCAGCTGTCAGCTGTGATTGTTATCATAATGGTTCCCACAGTCACCATGCATTCCTCTCTCTCTACTTTCTAGTTCCCATTTTGCGACGGTACCCACACAAAGCACAATGAAGAAACTGGCGACAACGTGGGACCACTGATCATCAAGAAGAAAGAGGCGTAATCGGTGGACAGTGATTTGTCTTGATGTTGCTGATTGTTTTACAAGGCATTATATTACTTCTGTCCAATTTCCTTTCCCCCAGGGTTCTCAGTGTGGTTTCTTGTAGGTTAAGGCTTTCATTTGTGTGCCCTCTGCCTTACTGCTTGTCCAGACACCATGGTTACACTCACTGTAAAGAATCCTCCTGGCCTGTGGGTTGTTCTTCTGTCTTGTAGGGATTGTGTTCATCGGTTCCTTCAAATTTCAAATAATGACAGGATATCCTTGGATCTGTATGTTGATGTTAATATATTAAATTATTTTCAAAATCATGTATATGCAAATTGTAATTGCATGCCACGAGCAGATTCGTCACAAAGCCTCTTCCAAAAAGAAGACAGTTTCTTTGTTTAAAACTAAGAATGACTGACCTGGCTGGTTGAGAATTTGACTTGTTACTCAGTGCACAATAGATGAGGAAATAGAATGTTTGAAATGTATTTGCAGAGTTTATGATCCAAAGGAAATCTCCATTTGGGGGGTTGTCAGTTGTGAATTTTATTAATATTTGCATATCAATTGGACTATCATCAGGGAATGGAGAGACAGATTTGGGGTGATTTAGTTCATGTCCTTGCTGTCTTCATCTCAGATAAATACTTCATTAATAAATTTGGGAGACAGAAACCAATCCTGGAAATGTTTATCCAAGAGCCATTACATGCAAAATAGCTGAATAAGCAGTAAGATCCCTCGAAATGTTGAGACGTGGGTTCTTTGCCCACAAGCTGATGTTGAAAACTAGTCAGGCAGGACAGTATTTAGTGTTTCATAATGTGCTTCCGTGTTGGAAAGAGTAGTTAGAACAGAGCAGTTCAAAGGTCCTTGCCACTAGGAATGGGGGGAGCAAGCATCTGGATAATTGAGGGGGAGTTTTCATTGCTTTATTGATGCTTTTTTAAAATATCATTGTCATTCAGTGATGCACACCCCACCCCCATTAGAACCCTCCCTTGTAACACATAGGTAGTCAGGTCAAACAAGTCAGTAACTTTGCCACATGTGACAGTGTATGCCTCATTCCATACCTGTAGTCTACCCCTGCTCTGCCGAGAAGTGGAAGGCATGTTTCACATCTGGCTGATGTTAAGGAATTTTATTTGAAGAGGAAAGTAGGAATTAAGTCATGTTTTTCCAAACTGAATGTTCTTTTTTTTCTTAATTTAAAAAAGGCATAAACTCAAAACACTAAGAGGTTATGTTTTTGTGACGTAGACCAAAGACAAGCATTTCTGATTCATGGAGGGGAAGAAGAGAAAATATAAAAACTGAAAGTAGCTGGTAGTAATAGAAGGGTTAAAACTAGTTCTTATGTATCTTAAATAACACAGGTGGGGTTTGGAGTTTTTACCAAAGGTTAAAGGGTAGAAAAGATGAGAATTTTCTGCATCAGTGCATTTAAATAAAGAAATTAGGAGTGTATTGATGCTGTTAGTTTAAGGGGTTTATGAAGATGCCACATTTGAAATATAGGTGTTTGAAGACAGGAGAAAGACAAGTTTCATATAGGCCCTGGTTGTTCAGAAAACATGCTAATTCCAAATGTCAGAACTCACTTGAACTGACCAAGTCCATGATAGAAGCAGAAAGTGACCTTTATCCTTTCCTCCTGGTAGAGTTAAATCCTTAAGAAGCGACATATTTCTCTGTGATTTGAAAGTGTATTAGGTTGATATTTGCTAAGACCCAATGAATGGCTAGCTCACCACCATGAATACTTTGATGAAGACAGATGTCCCTGTGCTGCTCCCTCTGTAACTAATAGAAGACATACTGTACAGACTGCAATATTTATGACCATCTTTATCTAGTAGATATCTTCAAACATAGTCTGCATAACATGTGGAATTGCAGTATAGCTTCCCATAACACTTTCTGCATGAGTTGGGTTTTCTTGATTCATTTTGTGTTTTTCCTAGAAGTGAGTAGGTTCATTAGAAGCAGCAGTGGTTTTTAAAAGGCTAAGTACCATTCTTTAATCAGAAAACCTCATGCAGGAAATCAGCTTTTCTTGGATTAAACCTTCAAATTATTACCAAACATACATGCCTAAACTGGGTGTAGAGTAACTCATTTCACCTTGGTTTTAAATTGGAAATGTCCTTCACTGTGACTTTGGTGAGACAGGCATTTTTACAGTTTTGCTGAAGAATGATTCCATAGTAGTTCTCAGAATACCTGTTGAGCAGCAGGATGAGGGCTTTTTATCTGATCTGGATCACAGGTTTTTGATAGTAGCAATATAATATGCTTAAATGTATTTTCAAGGGTGTGTTCACATTTTGTACAAGATTTTGAACTAAAGTTGCTTCATTCTGTGAAATATTGTGTTCCGATCATTGCTTAATTAACCTAGAAACTGGAAAACTGGCTGAGATGGCATGAATGTTGGTGGGAATTCACATGCAGACTGTCATGTGCACAGAGGAGGTTTCCTGGGGCCTTTCTCACTTCCTGGAAAATGAACATGTAAATGGGTTCCAAATAGCTTTTGTTTGTAGCTTATCATTAGGAGACAGTTTCTCCTCTTTCATCATTTCCTCTATAGCAGGAATAATTTACCTTGAGTCTGTGAACATTTTCTCTCTGTCTCTCTCAACCCCTCACTCCCCCCCCCACAGAAAGTATATAATATATAATTGACATAGAAATTAATATATAGCATATAATCCACTTAATTTTAGAGAATTATAATTTAATATAATTAGCTTCCTTTGTAATCCTATATAACTTATTTTGTGAATTTAAAACATAATTTTGAGAAGGAGTCCAGAATCTTACCAAATGTCAAAGGAGTCCACAAGATCATGATAGATTTTGAACATCCCAAATCCCAAAGGTTCAAGACTTCTTTCTCTTCTCTTCCTCTCCTCTCCTTTCCTCCCCTTCCCTCCCCTCCCCTAGCTCTGGCCATTTAGTGCTAGGTTGATAATGAGCATGATTGCTCCTTTGCAGAAATACTATCCATAGAAACTCAATTAACCTAATATTTATTGAGAGACAGCACTGGTCTTGGAGTCAGGAAGATGGGTTCAAATTCTGCCTCATATTGTTGTGAAATTCAAAGGAGATAATATAGGTGCCCCAAAAGTTGTATAGCTTAAAACTTCACTGACTTTTGGGCCACCCTGTAAAAGTGCTTTGCAAACCTCCAAAGCCCCAGAAAAATCTCAGCTGTTATTATTTATAAATACAGCAAGTCTCAGCTTTGAGTCATTTCAGTAGCAGGTACAAACAACATGTACCTTCAGTTTGCCTTAGCTTCCAAATTTCAAGGTCATCAGAAAGGAAGATAGATTTCCCAGGGTAAGCACGTACCAGTCATTTTGTAAATGCATTTGAGAGTGGAAAATTTGGTCGCTTTCCTTTCTTAACTGAAGTAACCTCAAATGAGCAGTTGCCAACTTGGTGTTTTCCTTGATAATTTAGCCTCACGATGGAACTGGGAATCAAAGCTATTCTCACTGCCAGGGTGGTAGAATGATCAGGTATTATGTTAACTGGGTTTTTAAAAAACCACAGTAAGGAATTAAGATGAAAGCTTCAGTTCTGCTGAGTGGATCAAAGCTCCTCTTGATCCCATTCGAAGGCAGAGCAAGGCTTTATGTGGCATTTGGCAGCTAGGTGGTACAGTGGGCAGAGTGTTAGACTTGGAGTCAAGAAGACCTGGGTGTAGTGACCTTGGGCAAGTCATTTAATCTCAGCTTTGGCTTCCTCATCTATAAAATGCTTCCCAGCATGGTTGTGAAGGTAAAACGACATCATTATTGTAGTACAAAGTATGAAGATGGGGTATGCTACTTCCAGCCCTGCCGCTGCTTAGCTCTGACCTTTGGATAAATTGCTGAATGTCTCTGGGCCTCATCTCATCTGTAGGACAAGGTCACATGGGACCAAAGTAAGGAAATAAGCATTTATTAAGCACCTTTTGTGTGCTAGGCAGTGTGCTACTTTTCAGGTTATCTTACTTGATCCTCACAACAACCTTGGGAAGTCAGTGCTATCTCTAACCCCATTTTACAGATGAGGAAACTGAGATACCAGTTAAGTGACTGGCCCAGAATTACATAGCTAGTAAGTGTCTGAGGCCAGATTTGAATTAAGGTCTTCCTGATTCCAGGCCCTTATCCACTGTGCCCTGTCTTGGAATTAAAATTTGGAATAAGATTCTTTCTACTGTGAGGACTTTGAGACATCAGTGCTCTATACTCTGACTTCTAAGTTCTATATGATTTTGAATGTTTCAATAATCATACAATGAGATCCAATGAAATAATATTTGCAATGTGTCTGGCACATAGTAAACATTTAATTGTTCTCTTCCATTCCCTCTTCCCTTCATACAGGAAAAAAAGTGAAAAAAAATTTCTGATCCTCAGAAATTCAGCTCAGAAAAAAGCTATTCAGCTTTTTTGTTATTTTTTATTTTTTTTTTCTGCCTTCCTGAAAAAGTCATTCATCTGGAAAGATTAATCCAGAGATAATTCAATTTCGTTGTTCTTTTTAAGTCCAGTCTTCCACCTAATTAATCTCATTAGGCCAGTAGAGATCTCCCATCAGCCCCTCACAATCATCTTTCTCTGTATCCTGACATTAGCATGTAATACAAGGGCTGTCTCCATTAAAGAGAAAAGGGCATTTTATTTTCAAAATCAGTGGGAGCTGCCAGGTCAACTAAGGGTCTCTGGGAGCAAGCAGAGTGTGATCTCAGGCAGACTTCACCACCCTGGAAAGGCTTCATCTACAGACCTGTTGATCTCTCACTACCCTAGCAGAGCCTTAAATAGGGTGAGATTAATAGAGCTTTGCCCCAGTGTGGAAAATTTAAAGGCTACCTTTAGGGGAAGCACTTCCCCACCCTGCCCCCCCCTTCCAGGGGCACATTGCTCCCTCCCAACTACCAGTCAACCTTCTCTACTACCACTCTGACATTTGCCAAAGCTTAAGAAGAAAAGATGGCTCCTTCTGGCTATGTGTCCAATGGCCAGCCTAGGTAAGTATGGACAAACTAATTGCCAGCAGATTGGCCACTATGTGGTGGGTAAAAGTGGCATGAAAGTAGAAAGAACATGACAGGTCTTGAAGGACCTAGCTCTCCTACTTGCTAGCTCTGACCTTGGGGCAAGTCACTTAACTTCTGGCTTTCAGATTCTTCATCTTTAAAATGAGAAGGTTGAACTTGACAGTCGGTTCCTAATTCTGGACTTTGCAGTGCTATGATTCTGGCATTCATGAGAAGACTGGGCTGCCTTCGATAGGGGTAGGTTCCCCCTCGCTGGAAGTCTTGGAGAGGAGGCTGGATGACCCTTTTGAGTGTAGTAGATGGCTCCTACAGCCCTTCTAGAGCTGAGCTGCCTTAATTCTGTTTGTAAAATATTTATACAAAGACGATACTGTTCAGTAAAACAAAATGAGAGGGTCAGAAAAGATTCTTGTTAGTCCAAAGGGAAGATGAGTAACAGCATTTGGGCCATCCTTCTGGACTTCAGCCTGATTAGGCCATGGGTCTTTAGCTACTGAGCTGCCTAAGCAATGTGTTTCCAATACCAGCTATCCAAGTGGTCCAGGTTCCCAAGCCAATCTGCCACTGGAGCCTGGCCAGGTGCGCCACCTAGTGGACAGCACTCAGTGCTGAGGATGGAAATTAGGAGCACACTCAGTTCATTACAAAACTGACCTAGCATTCAGTGACTTCTAGGGTCTGCTGTTCTATCTGAGGTACTGGAAACTGAGGCCCACTCCAAGAGCTACTCAACCATTTGTCATCACCATCAATGATAGTTAATAATAACAGAATACATAGCGTTTTATGGTTTGTCAAGCCATTTACAAATATCTCATTTTATCTACACAACCACCCTGGGAGGTAGAGGCTCTTATCAACCCCATGTTACAGGTTAAGAAACTGAGTCTGAGAGAGATTCAATGACTTGTCCAGGGTCACATAGCTAGTAAGTACATGAGACAGGATCTGAACTAGGGTTTTCTAATTTCTAGGCCCAAAGCTCTGCATTCTTTCACCTGACTGCCCTAGGAAATCTTGCCAAAACCAGGCTTTGATGATTGCTGTTCTGTAGATTTTCTCAGTGTTTAGCATCCAAGCTAGTCATAGAGAAGCAGTATGACATGGCAAAAAAGTTAGTTGGGTTTGAAGTTATAGGTCTGTTGTTCAGTTGTTTTCAGTCATCCAACTCTCTGTGACCCCATTTGGGGTTTTCTTGGCAGAGATACTGGACTGGTTTGCCATTTCCTTCTCCAGCTCATTTTATAGTTGAGGCAATTGAGGCAGAGAGGGTTGTGACTTGCCCAGGGTCACACAGTCAATAAGTGTCTGAGGCCAGATTTAACTCAGGAGGATGAGTCTTCTTCCTAATGCTAGACTGGGTGCTCTATCCACTACAACATGAGTTCAAATTGTGGTTATGCAACTTACAACCTGTGTGATCCTGGGCAAGCCCCAACATTTCTCTGTGTTGTATCCTAGATCCAGATCAATATGCTTATCAATCACCAGACCTGTGATTTATTGGGATAAGAATCTCCCTCTGCTGATGCAGATTTGCAGATTTGCAGTTTATCCTTTGAAGAGAGTTGCTTGGGGTATTAAGAGGTTAAGTGACTGGCCCATCCAAGATGTGTCCGAGGCAGCATTTGAACTCAAGTATTCTTGACTTGGGCCACCAGGTGGCGCCATAGTGCTGGGCCTGGAGTCAGAAGGCCCTGAGTTCAAATGCAACGTCAGACACTTACTGGTTGAGTGACCCCAGGCAAGTCACTTCACCCTGTTTGTCTCAGTTTCCTCATCTGTAAAATGAGCTGGAGAAGGAAATGATAAACCACTCTAGTATCTTTGCCAAGAAACCCCTAAATGGGGTTATGGAGTCGGTCATGACTGAAACAACTCAACAGGAGACTGGTTTTCTATCCACTGCTCCATTCTCAATTAGTCAGTCTACAAGCCTTTATTAAGTGCCAAACTCCGTTAAGAAAAGGGATTCAAAGAAAGTAAAAAGAAAACCTGAGTCCTTGCTCTCAAGCAGCCCACGTTCTAACAGGGAGACAACATACAGAAAACTATGTCCCCGTAAGATATATGCAGAGCAGATCATCTCAGAGGTAAGGCACTAGCACTGAAGGGAACCAGGAAAGGCCGTGTGTAGAAGGTGGAATTTGAGCTGAGTCTTACAGGAAGCCAAGAGGCAGAGGTGAGGAAGGAGAAGCATCCCAAGAACCACTGGCATTTACACTATGGCACTTCAAAGTATGCAGAGCAGCCGGTATCCGCTTTCTTATGACACCCCCAAGCCATTTCTGCTGTCCCAA